TAGTTTACAAGATCATGACTTATATCTAAAATCTATATTAATCTTGAAATGGCTAGCCTTCTAACTCGTCACTTCCCGTGGTTTCCTCGTCCTTGATTTCACTTCCTGAAATGGTGAATAAGGAAAACTATGAGATAAACTCAGTAAGTAAAATATGGAGTGCCCTTAATTAAACTCATAGCATGCCAACAAATATAATCACGAAAAACAGATACAGTACGGGAATGAAATAGACGTCTCCTCTATAGGTCACGACCAGTGTTATAAATCTCCCACTGGCAGGCACACGATTTACTAGTGTATAATCCCCACTAGCAAGGTCACTCGTACGAACCGGTTCTATCACTAACATGTCGACATGTGCTAACGTTTAACTCCCACTAGCAGGGTCACTAATAACATGACCACATCGGAGACAAAACAGGCAAAAGTTAACAGAAAAATCATAATTCACCAATTTCAAATCATCAGGACAATCAATTAAATTTCAAGTAAGCATACTCAATTCAATAAAAAGAATAATAATTTCGCTTTAAATCAGTCATACTTACTTTTGCATAAAACCGGTTTAGTCCCACCACCATTTCAAAAACAAATCAAAACATGCTTTTAAAAACTATACGAGCATTACTATAAATTTACTTATCTCACTCGCATAAAACCGAAGACTTGATCTCAGTATTAAACTAATAGAACGATCAGGAACCTAATCAAAATACCCTGGAACATTTAATCAAAATACCCCGAAAAATTTAATCAAAATATTGGACATTTCCAAATTTATTCTTATATCACAAACTAATCATTTAAATTCCCGTTAATTGTCGACCCTTGGTGTGCGAACAGTAATCTATGAACAGTGATCATGAACAGTAACCACTACGTGAACAGTAACTCAAACTTCCAAAAATTGCCCAAACCACTAGCTAATTTCACAGGATTTTCTCTCCAAAAATCACAGCAACTAATTAACTAATTTTCTACATGAATTAAGCTAAATCATGGTCTAAATACTGTCAAATTCATCCCCATTTCTCACGGGCAGCACATGGAGAGCAATAATTCATAGACAACTCAGCAGCTAATGAATAATTTTAGGCTTAAAGGGGCTGTCCATACCAGAATTTAGCAACCAAAAACCGGACTGCAGTTGGGGGAAGGCCGGCGGCACTCTGCAGGGAAACTCACGGGCTACCCAAAATTCAAGAACCAAAACACAATTCAAAGCAAACCCAAGCCAATTAAAGCTGGAGAAGGGAGATTCATGGCTGTTCTTACCGGAAAAATGCCCAGAAATCACCCACAATCAAGAGCAGCCGGCGGTGAGGAAGGAAGAAGCAGAGCAGATCCGGAATTTCCAGCAGGGGGGGAAGGTTTCAAGGCTCCAATCTTGTTCTTGAACAAGAAAAGAAGGCCAAAACCAAGCTTCCTCACCGGTTTCTCAAAGGCTGGTACGTCGGCTTGCTTGGTTCTTTTTTTTGGGCTGCAGCGGGAAGAAAAAGAAGAGCAGAATCGGGCTGAAGAAGGAAGAAAGAAGGAAGAAAGAAGGAAAAAGAAATAACTGATCCTTATCCAAATTTTCGCTCTTTAAGTCCCTCAAGTTATGAAATTTTAGCTATTAAGCCCAAAACAATATTTCTCCACAATTTAATCCTTAACTCACTTATTTATTCTAGAAAATTTTGGGGTATCACAAAAACTAAAATGATAAAATATAATTTTGACTTGAATATAATTATTGACTCATATCCAAAATTATCAAAATAAGTTATCAAATTATTTGAAATTTTTTAATATTAAATAATTATATTTTTTTGATAGAATTTTTTTTTGTCAAATTTATAGACAAGAATCTTTTAAAAAAAAAGATTAAAAATAATCAAAATTTAAAAGAGTAAGTTTTTATAAATCAATAGTAAAAAATAATGACACATTAATATTAATACATAAAAATTTTGATTATTTTGATTAATTAGCTGAGCTATCCAAATAATTTTGGTTATCTAAAATTATAACTAAATTAAATATTTAGTTTAAATTTGGTATGAAACTCTCATCCGAAATTTTGTTAGATAACCAAAAAGTTGGTTCGATTTGGACAATCCGGACCGAATACCTAGCCCTAGGTTCGGGTCAACCAAATTTAAAGAAAAATGAAAAAATAAGAAAAATGTAAAAAAAAAAAAAAGGGAATAGTTTAAGTCAACTAAGTTTGACCAAGTTTGGATGGGTCAGATTATTACCAGGCTCCTATCAGAATCCAGCCCATTTTAGATCCGGTTGCAATCAAACTGTTTGAACCGATCGACGCGGTCCAAATTTCAAAACTTTGGTTAATATGACAGCTAGTTAATTAACAACATATTTTAAAATATTTTTCTTGTTTTTTTTGTGGCCACATGATTTGTTACACAATAATATGTAACCTTTTAAGATTCTCTTTAACCGACAATGATATAAATAATTTAATAATAATTTTTTTATTAAAAATAAAAACTTTTAACTTCAAGTTACATGACATGTGGGTGAAGTAGAATTAAAGATGAGACAGAATTATTTCTCATTGTGTAATCAATATATATATAAAAAAAAAAACCCTCTTTAACCACTCTAAATTTGAATTTAATTAAAACAACCAACAAAATATTTTTCATGTAAATTTTTTTTGATACATTAAATGATAGGACATACAATAAAAAATAATCATATTTTTTCTAAACCCCTCTTTACCATTTTTTAGATTTAAATTTAGAATCTCAACTCATTTTTAAATTTAAACTTCGCATTTCTAAGTTAAAAATTTAAATTTTTAATCATTAAAATACCTAAAAAACATATTTTCATGTAAATCAATGAAAGTATATGAACATGATCATTTCCCTCTGTGTGAATAACACGCATTCCGATTCCTGCTCCTTCCCCTTTTGAGGCAAAAAGGCAATTATACTAAATTCCGATACCATACTTGTTATCGTTCTAACGTTTATCGTCATTGTTATCATTGTAAATTAGTAAATTAATATTCCAATTTTAATATAGAAGCATAAGTTTTTTTCCTTTTTTTTTTTCTTTGGATTGTCAAGCTGTCCTTAGGGTAATTTTTGCCACTTAAGGAACTAATTTCTCCTTAGATAAATTTTAAAATTGTACCCTTATGTTGGTTTAGTACATTTATAATATATTTAGTTTGCGGGAAAAAATAGAGAGAAGAAGGGAAAGATCTTTTTACTAATAAGATTATAATATTTAAAAATATTATAATTTAATTGATTTAAAAACTCTCTCCTTCCCTCACTTCTCCTCCATTCCCTTAACCCAAACATACAATTAAGTAAATAAATTCTAACTCCTACTAAGACAATTAAAAGCATAAGTTTTTTTTTTTTTTAATTTGGACTATTAGGGTGTCCTTGGAATAGCTTTCACCCTTTAAGAAACTAATTCTTCCTTGGGTGAATCTTAAAAGGACACCCCTATAACAATTTGATGCATTCAAAAAAGTTAGATTCTTTAGGTGTAGACTCCAAACTTTAAATTATGAGCTTGATTTACAAAAAGACACTAATTTACTAATCAATTCAACCCTCAAATTAAAAGCATAATTAGGTTTTGCTTTCAAAGGCTTACCCATAAGGGATCAGTTCCCAAATAGTAAGAATTAATCAAATCTTTTCCAAAGTATATGAAGCACCTACTTGTACTTCACTAAAGTTAACTAAAATGTCCGTTGATTTAAATTTCTATATTAAACATTTCACAAGGTTCTTTCATAAAAACAGCTGCTAATTGATTAACTTTAAATATGCAAAAGTTTATACATTACTATGTCAAACAATTAATTAACAACATATTTTTAAATATTTTTCATTTTTTTTAGTGTGTCAATAATTTTTTATACAATAAATATCGACCATTCTAAACCCATCCTCAACTATTTTAAATTCGAAATTTAAGACACCAACCAAATATTTCTCATGTAAACTAATGGAAGGACATATGCACACATGAATCATGATTACTTCCCTTGGTGTGTAAAACATGCATTACGTGTAAAAACATGCTTCTTTTCTTTTTCTTTACACACACACAAAAAAAAAAAGCTTCTTTTCTTTTTAGGGTAAAAAAGCACTTATGCCAAAGTTCCAATACTAGACGTGTTATCATTGTAAAATAGTAAATTTAATATTCCAATTTTAATATAGAAGCTCAAGGTTACGGAAAAATCTTCCATATAATCCACATTTGTTCTTGCAAGGCTGAGGTTACGGTAAAACAAGCAGAAAACATGGCCCGTGATGAAATACAGATCACGCTCACCGAAGACGAGGTTAAGAACTTGAAGTCATTGGAGGAAGCTGAGACCGGTCCGTCGACACCAAACAAGCCATTAATACAGAAGGTTACGCAGATCTTGCGCGCGTGTTACAGTAAGGAAGAATGCGAACGATACTTCGAACCAAATTCTGTTGCAATCGGTCCTCTCCACCATCCTAAAGGAGATTGGAGATACGAAGGAGGCGAGAAGTCCAAGCTACAACTGGCGGCGATGTTCATCAAAAACAGTGGGAGGAGGAAGGAAGATTTCTACAACAATGTCAAGATGGAGATAAATAAATTGAGGAAGTGCTATGACCCCAAAGATGTAGAGAAATGGAATGATGAGGAGTTGGCCTTGATGTTCCTTGTGGACGGCTGTGCATTGTTGAATTTCATATACATTGATGTGAATAAAAAGTGGAAGGAATTGGGAGGTAAGAATTATCTGGTCGCCTTTCCAAAGCTGGATTTATACTTGCTTGAGAACCAACTACCCTACCAACTCCTTAAGATACTAATAAAGACGTGCAATAAAGTCTCCGATAATGAGAAAGTGAAAGATTCAAACCTCGCCAGGGAATTGAAGAAGTCCATCATCAGCTTCATCAATATGAATGACATGAGGCCGGGGGATTCTCCCAAACAACAAGGAGAAAGAGAAGAAAAAGAAGAAGAAGAAGAAGAAGAAGGAAAAGAGCCTGCTCATCTTCTGGAACTGTTACGGAGAAGACTGATCCATATGGAGGGTGCAAAACATGAACAAGATGAGAAACTAGAGAGCAATTTGGGGAACCTAAAGAATTGGCACACATTTCGCAACATAAAGGAGCTGAAAGATCATGGGATTTCGTGTAAACCGAGCGAGACGAGCAGCGTCATGGATATTACTTTCTGCCCCAATTTTTACAAGGCAACTCTAAAGCTGCCTCCCATCAAGGTTGATGACTACACGGTGCCAAAGTTGATGAACTTGATAGCATACGAGATGTGTCCGGATTTCATGAACGACTTTGAGATCACCTCCTATGTCTCCTTCCTTGACTCTTTGATTGATAAAGCGGAGGATGTGAAGGAATTGAGAGATGCTGGCATTCTGGACAACAGACTAGGAAGCGACAAAGCTGTAGCGAGGCTGTTCAACAAGATCAGCACAAACCTTGTGGCTGGTGTACCAAATCCTAAGCAATACAAGGAATTGACACATAGAATCCAAGAACACTGCAACACTGCGTGGAGCATCCACTTGGCTCAGCTCTATCACACCTATTTCAGCAGCCCCTGGAGCATCTTGGCCTTCCTTGGTGCTCTACTCGGTCTTAGTTTGACAGCTGTGCAGACTTATAAGAGCTTCAATTGACGAATTCATACAGTTAAAAGAAATATTCACATGTTTAACCTATAGTTATATTCGGATTATACTTATGTTGTGACATTTCCGATGTCCTGTGCGGCTGTGCTGTCAGTTATTATCTGTACATAACCAATATGATCTGTACATAGGTATTCCTACTTTATTTCTTATTATCCCTATCTAGTCTGATACTCTGTAATGTCTGTTTTCTTCAGTCTTATATAAAATGATCTTGTTGGAGACGTACGTGTTGCACATATATATGTTCAAAGGAATCAGCAGCAAATTGATAATGAATCCTGGGGTATACTCAGATGTGAAAAGGGCATCCCCCTGGAGCATCTGACATTAATTCCTCGTTGCTTCTGCTGAGTCTTGCTATTCAGAATCATAAATAGATCAATATGTAATTTATTAATTTCCATGAAATCATATGATATTGAAAGCAGCTGCATATCTGCATATGATTATTTGCGCTTTTGCTTTTGATCAACATATAATTTTAGCAAGGCATACAATATGACGCACGCACACACCTCATCATAAGACAGGACAAATATATCCAACTGCTTTAAAATCTTCCCCCAAAAAAAAAAAAAACCTACAATTTTGGGGTTTATGAAAGGCAAGACTATGATTACCAGCTAAAATCTTTCGTTA